AAAGAATTCTGGGAGTTGAAGTCCACAAGTCTTAAAGTTGCTAAGTTTGGGGTCCCCTGCTGTAGAAGGATCTCGAAAAAACACTCATTGCTCCTATTTCAACAAGTTCCCCATTACCTGATACACAGCCACATTAGAGGTTTCGTAGGTCAGAGTTGTGCTTTTCACCGACAACGAGTGAGTCACGGATCTCAGGCTGTGGGCTTCGGAGCAGCTCTTTGATTCGCTGAGGTTGTCCAGAGTTAGCCTCTGTGGAGGCAAGCAATGGAAATGGAGGCAAGCCAGAAATTGAGCCAAGATGGACACCCACGGGGGAAGGAACATATACAGACAGTCCTCGACTTGCAACCAGTGGTGGGATTCCACTGGTGTAACAACCGGTTCGGTGAGCGTGGGCTTCGTGCAGGCAGCGTTCGAGAACCTCCTATTCTTACTTTCTCCTGCAGCCCCGGTGAGCGAAACAGCTCACACAAATCAGCTAAGCTACAAAACACGGAAATATAGGACAAATTAGGGCAGGGGTTGCCAACCAGTAGGCCAGGGACCACTGATGGTCCACGAGAATATTTTGGAGGTCCGTAGAGAAATGTCACCCCCAAAGCAATTAATCCAGGCCGCGTGGGAACACAAGGCTTGCGTCGCTTGCGTTGAGAGCAACACGAGGTAGTGAGGGGAGGGGGGAAAGGGCAGGGGGTGGGAACTTGCCCCACACACCCCACAAGTCTGGTCTGGCCACCAGGCTGGTTCTTTCCGCTTCTTTCTTCTGCTTTTGGCTGCACGCAAGGAAAGCAGCAAAAGTCTTTCTTTCTCTCCCCCAAACTCCGCCAGAAATGAATCTTTGGGACCCTGCAAGGCCTCCTGCTCCAAGAGGCTGTGCCAGTGCGACAAATCTCACACAGACTCATTTCTGGTGGAGTTTGGGTGAGAGAAAGAAAGACTTCCGCAGCTTCTGCTGCTTTCCTTGCATGAAGCCAAAAGTCTCTCTCTCTCTCTCTCTCCCCCTGAGAATGGAGCTGGAGACGGTATCCTGTGATCCCAAATAAAGAATGATCGGTAGGAAAACGGGGTGGGGGATTTTCCTGCAGACTTTTTGGGGGAGATTTTCCCAGGGTCTCTGGTCCACAGGATTTAAATTTATGAGTTTGGTGGTCCCTGAGGTCCAAAAGGTTGGCGACCCTTGGATTAGGGCAGGGGAGGGTGGATGGAGCCAAATGATCGCTGGAACTACCGGCTCGCCTGAACCGGTCCAAATTTGCTGAATCCCACCCCTGCTTACAACCATTCACTCAGTGACTGTTCGAAGTTACAGCGGCCCTGAAACAAGGGACATATCTCTGGTGCAACCTGCCACCATCTTGATTTTTTGGGACATCGGGGCACACACCGCTTTCGTGTGTCAGCAAGAGACAGTCCCATTAGCACTTACCATTCTAGTGTCCCAAACGTGCTTTATTTTTTATTTTTTTCAAGAGGCAACTGGACTTTCTGGCTGTCATGCCCCTGTCGGAGTCTTTCAACAGTTTCCAAGAAGGCTCCACACCTATCTGCACCACTCAGGGGACCCTTGAGGACACAGGTAAACCTCCAAGTGGCCTCAACGGCTCTGTCAAAGGATGCAAATGACCAGCTGTCTGCAAGGAGTATAAATCCTTCCATTCTCCACTATCCAGTCAGAGCTGAAGAAGCTTCTTGGATAAGAAGCAAAAGGTTTTCAAAAGGAAAAACAAGGAAGTTCAGTTGCCTCCTGAAAAAGCACCTTTGGGACAAACCATGACCTGGATGACGGAGAATCTCTGCAGACTTTTAACTATACAATTTGGGATAGACATCCTTTGAACGGTGTGGGAGGAGGAACGGATTTCCAGAGAGAAAATTGCAGGCGACAGGAACCATTTTGCACCACTCAGGTGACCCAGAGGACACAGATAAATCCCCAAGCGGCCTCAACAACCCTCTAAAAGGATGCATATGACCAGCTGGTCTGCAAGGAGGATAAATCCTTCCCTTCCTCACCATCCAGAGCTGAAGAAGCTTCTTGGATAAGAAGCGAAAACGTCTTCAAAAGAAAAACCAGCAAGTCCAGTTGTCTTTTTTTTTTAAAAAAAAAAAGCACTTTTGGGACAATTATGGATGATGGAGAATCACCGCCGACATTTACCATTCTACTGATTTTGGTGTTCACGAAAGTTAGGTCATCTAAAGTCAGGAACAGCCTCCGCGATCCTTTCACGAATCGGCGGTTGCGGTGAGTCTTTCTGAAAAAGAGATCAAAAACATGCGTAAGTCTTTGGCCACTGTCCATGGCCATATAACTGTGGATTGTTTTTTATTTGGTTTATTTATTTGGATCCCGCCGTTATTATTTTTACAAATAACTCCAGGTGGTAGTGAAGATCCCCGACACAGATCCATTGTCAACTCATCAAACATTCCTAGGCCTGTTTTAGTAGTTGCCATAAAAAAAGAGGGGGAAAAGAAGGAAATATGGAAGACCAGTTCAGCAGTTTGGAAACAGAACTACGTTCCAACTCTTATCTTTAAAAGATTGTAACTAAAATACCGGAGCTTTTGCCCACAAATATTTTTAATTGGAGAATGTGATTGATGACACTCAGCCCGTAATTGGAGAACGTGGTTGATGACACCCAGCCCGTAATTGGAGAATATGGTTGATGACACCTGCCCGTAATTGGAGAATGTGATTGATGACACCCAG